TTTAAAAAAATAAAAAAAAAAAAAGATTCTGAATCAACTCAAATATGCTCATATTTTGCCCCCAACAGTTGAGGAACGTCCTTTTCTTCCAAGTTGTTACAGTTTTACAGTAGTTGATTAAAGTTTCTATTATTTTTTTTTGCCCTGTCACTTCATATTTTTTTCTGAAAAAATCTGACAACCAACAAATTAAATTGGTGAAGCCTAACTGACCCCTGTGTACAACAGGCACATTATATTAAATAATAACATAACATGTGAGGCAACCAGTGCTGTTCTGTACTCATATTTTGTCTTCCCACAGTGTTTGCGACCCTTGACCCGACCCGGTCTAACTCCATGACCTCCACGGGTCAGTGCAGGATAGCCCCCCTCATGCCGCTCATCCTGGACTCCTCACATCTGTACTAGTTCATCCTCAAACTCATGTTCAAACTACACTCATGTAAGTACCTGGACTCCTCACATCTGTACGACTAGTTCATCCTCAAACTCATGTTCAAACTACACTCATGTAAGTACCTGGACTCCTCACATCTGTACCAGTTCATCCTCAAACTCATGTTCAAACTACACTCATGTAAGAACCTGGACTCCTCACATCTGTACGAGTTCATCCTCAAACTCATGTTCAAACTACACTCATGTAAGTACCTGGACTCCTCACATCTGTACAAGTTCATCCTCAAACTCATGTTCAAACTACACTCATGTAAGTACCCGGACTCCTCACATCTGTACCAGTTCATCCTCAAACTCATGTTCAAACTACACTCATGTAAGTACCTCATCATGGTGAAGACTAGGGTTTCAACAAAGATACATGTAAGTGTGTTAAACTTAAGAATATGACATCTACCAACACAATTTACCAAGGGCAGACATGTGTATGTGTGTAATTTCTGTTTAGTACAAAGAACAGGAATGTGTATGTGTGTAGATAGCATTTAGCACCAAGGACAGGTATGTGTATGTGCAGGCTTTTAGCTAGGATTTTTTTGTTGGGCGTCCATTTTTTGCATTGTATGCTATGCTCCGCAAAGATGCACGGTGCACAAGCTTTTTAGGGGGCCTTTTTTGAAAGTCAAAATGCTCTCAAACACTACTTTTTGCATTTTGAGTTACAAATTTTGAGGAATTTGAGTTTTTGTCCTTCAGTAAACCATTTTTGTATTTATAGTAAGGCTGAAGAGAGGCATAGGTGCATGGCAGGGGTTGGGAGTGGAAAAAAACAGGGCGTCTTTAGGGTGTCCTACCAAAAAGTAGGGCGTCCAATTTCTTAGTATTTTCAGTACAGGGCGTCCAAAAGACACCCTGGACACCCCCTAGCTAAAAGCCTGTGTATGTGTGTAGATAGTGTTCAGTACAAAGAACAGGCATGTGTATGTATGTAAATAGTGTTCAGCACCAAGGACAGACATGTGTATGTGTGTAGATAGTGTTCAGCACAAAGGACAGACATGTGTATGTGTGTAGATAGTGTTCAGCACCAAGGACAGGCATGTGTATGTGTGTAGATAGTGTTTAGCACCAAGGACAGACATGTGTATGTGTGTAGATAGTGTTCAGCACCAAGGACAGACATGTGTATGTGTGTAGGTAGTGTTCAGCACCAAGGACAGGCATGTGTATGTGTGTAGATAGTGTTCAGCACCAAGGACAGACATGTGTATGTGTTTAGATCGTGTTCAGCACCAAGGACAGACATGTGTATGTGTGTAGATAGTGTTCAGCACAAAGGACAGACATGTGTATGTGTGTAGATAGTGTTCAGCACCAAGGACAGGCATGTGTATGTGTGTAGATAGTGTTTAGCACCAAGGACAGACATTTGTATGTGTGTAGATAGTGTTCAGCACCAAGGACAGACATGTGTATGTGTGTAGATAGTGTTCAGCACCAAGGACAGACATGTGTATGTGTGTAGATAGTGTTCAGCACCAAGGACAGACGTGTATTTGTGAAGATAGTGTTCAGCACCAAGGACAGACATGTACATGTGTGTAGATTGTGTTCAGCACCAAGGACAGGCATGTGCATGTTTGTAAATCGTGTCCAGCACCAGGAAGACACATGTATGTGTGTTTGTACTAGATAGTATTAAATCGGATTTGAATTCACAGTAAGTCTGTTGCCAGGTTTGATTATGTGGTTAAGTATGGGCTAAGTTGGATTAACATTGTGTTAATTTTTGATCAGAGCTTGAAAAATACAGAGAAACAGAAATTCATAGTTATCCTTAGCCTTATGCCTGCTGGTAAACCCTGTAAACAATTATAAAAATTGTTTCCAAACTACATTTTGTACAAGTCATTTAATACTTCAGCATGCTAAGGTTAAGCAGGAAGGTCCAGTGAACTGGAATAAATAGTTTCTGATGATCTGTTTTTGCCATGTAGGTTTGCCTGCAGACGTGTTAGATGGACACAGGGACAGGTTTCTGCACCAGTTCCATGCGTGAGTTTCAGCCTTTTTTTACCTCCAAGTGTACAAAATGAACGGGCAGCCTATGGCAAAAATTAGGTTGCCCATCAGAATTTTAGGTTGCCCCACCTATTAAGTAATGTTACATACATAAGCCTTTGACAATATTTCTAACAGCCTTTAGTAATAGCCGTTAGCCCTTAGTAATAGCCGTTAATACCTAAAATTAAAAAGCATCTACCGGCTACAGTGGTGCAAGCCAAGTGGGCATAATTTCGTTGGGGGGGGGGATTCTTAGAATCCAGGTAGCACACTGGTCTACCTTGGTCCAAAAATAGGTTGCCCAGGGTAACTGGGCAACCTGGTATTTTGCATGCTGCCTCCAAAACTTCCAGAAGATTTTACATATTTGAATGGTTTTTTGAACTGCCTGTGTTTTTCCCATATCTGCAGGTTGAAGAAGTTCTACCACGCGGCAGGAAAGTTGCAGTTTTTCCGGACCATGTTGCAAGTTCCACAACTCCCTGAGGTAATTATGTGTACCAAAGAAAACATATTGTTTTTGCTCAGTTTCTTCTTCCTCTTCTTCTTCTTCTCCAAACAGTGACCTCAATGACCTGAACCAATGTTGTGTCTGTTGCCATGGTAACTAGTGTTGGGTTACATTATGTTGCATACATCATGTTGCAATTTTATAGCAGGAGAGATTTAGACTCCTGTCTGACCATATGTATGAATGTGTTTGAGTGAGAATTAACAGAGCACACCATATGCGAAGGTAAACATTATGCATTTGCTTTGCAAATGTTACCTTTCTAGTTATGGTTTGTTCCACAAGTCCCTTTCCCACATAATGTAAACAAACATGGTAGTCAGCTGTGTTTCCAGCTTTTAAACACGCTCGTGAGACGTCATACTTTGGCACCTTTGATTCCTGAATGTGCAATGGAGTAGGGTTACTTTGTAAAGAAATGATAAAAAAAATTTATTGTCCTTGTGTTGCACAATTCAGCTTAAATTTCATATTTATTCACTTGATTGAAGATACAGCTGCCCATCCTACATGTACGTGGAGTTATCATTAAGGGTGAACCTTGAGGCTAATATAAGATGGGTTTGCCAGGCCTCTGTCTGGGTGATTTGTAGTGAATTACCAACCTCCAGATGGTAGAATTTGGAGCGTGGCACACTAGGATATGCCCCTCTCTTTTTTTAAAAGGTGTGGTGGGTTCTTAAACTTGCATGTTTTTTTTCCTGAGTTACAAAGAGGAAAGTCATGTAAAGTGTCTTTCCCAAGGGCACAACTTTGGGGTATGTCTAGGTGGATTAGAATCTAGGACCCATGGCTTCCAGGCTGAATACCCTATCATTACGCCATGTGATGCCAACGTTAAGATTGTGATGTGTGTGTTCCAGGAGCCCCCAAACTTCCTGCTACACTGTCAGGACTACAGTGAGCACATCGCACCTGTGGTGGTTCTACCTCAGGCTCAGTCTCCTGACACGGACTCTCTAGTGGACACTGACATCTCTCCTCAGGTATGTCTTCACTTTAAAAGTTTCATGCTTCATGTACCACACTAATTTAGTGGTGCTGTAGCAGACACCCTGTGGTGTTAACAAATTATGTAGCAAGTTGCAGGACAGAGTTGGAGGGGCTGGTCACCACAAATAATAATGAATGAATGACGACCTTTATTGCACATTTCTGCCACCCTGGGCTAAGTACAGGTCAAAACAAAACATGATAGAAAGATATATGCAAAATAAAACTAGATGAATACAATATACAAAATAAAACTATCGCAGATGACATAAATTCAACTTCTCCTCGCTTTTCAGTTATAACAGAGATAAGGGAACAGATATGTTTCTGGATGGAAGGTTTGTCAAGTCACATTAGGAATATAAACTTTTCTGCAGTGCTCAAGTGTATGATGTAAGGAAATAGGTTTTGTACAAACCCATACAGATCCTTTCTCTCTTTGCTATATAAGGCCACACCAAGTAAATTTTATGGATGACGTCCGCGCGCGCATTGATTTTGGCCTGTTCCTAGAAAAAAAAACAAGAAATTCCGCTTCCTGTTACTATGACCAAAGAGTCACGACAGTGCTGCAAATCGTCAGATTGACGTGAAACCCGTAACGCGAAAACAGGATAGGACGACAACTTCTGTTCCACCTGTTTTGATGATGAATAAAAGACTTCTTGCTTGTTACACTGTGTCACCTCATTCAATTTGTGTCCTTACATTTGTTGTCTCCTAGTATATTTCTAATCTAGGCATCTTGTTTTTTAGGGCCCTTCTTGTTTTTTTTTCGCCCTCTCGCATTAGATTTAGGGTCTCCAAAGGACGTCATCCATAAAATTTACTTGGTGTGGCCTAATCTACATTCTATATATATAAGTATAACAAAGTGACATTTGCGTTTGAGCAAAAATAAACAGAGCAGTACTGGTAGTTTGTTGAACTAGACCATCCTCGTGTGAAGGTAAATATTATGCATTTACTTAAAGTTTACGAATGTTACCTAAATTTTCTTTTTGATCTTTCCCCCAGACCCCGTCAGATCTCCTGCAGGCCCGTCCAGCCCAGGAGGACAGGAGGTTTGAGGAGGTGTTCGGTAGTGATGACCTGGGAACCTTCCAGTTTAACCAGACCCAGAACGGAGCTCACGACAACCAGTTCTTCCCTGAGCTGCAGTTTGTCAAACTCCCTGAGAAAGATAGCAAGTAAGATAGCAAGAAAGATAGTAAGATAGCAAGTAAGACAACAAGAAAGATAGTAAGATACAGTACAGGCCACGAAATACGCATCAAGATCTGCGGGACGTACCGCGATATTCCGCAGGACGTCCCGCAATATTCCGCACGACGTCCCGCAATATTCCGCACGACGTTCCGCAATCTTACGCACGGCGTTCCGCAATCTTACGCACGGCGTTCCGCAATCTTACGCACGGCGTTCTGCGGTATTTCGCAGGGCGTACCGCGGTATTTCGCACGACGTCCCGCAGTGCACCTGAGAGCACTTTCGCAGAACTTTGCGAAAGTTCCGCAGAACACCTCTCCGTAAGGCCGCGTTTCCGCAGAAATACGTCCTTTTCATATGCAGGCCACCCGCGCCGTGGGCGGAGAAAGATCACACCCGGTTTGTTTACATTTTCTATAGCGCGGAGTGAAAATGTTCATGAGATCTGCCGATATTTTTTACC